ACAAGAAAAGGAAAAAAGACTTATTGTGGCCAGGTTGATCAAACGGCAGTGTTACCTTTGATATTACAACAATTAGTAAAAGCTATTACAACAAGAAGTTGTTATTATGCCTTATGAACATATTTTAAAATTTTGGAAGAAAGCACCACACAGGTTCTTTTTCTACTGTAGGCATTGTAAGGAAATTATGTTAAGAAAAAACTTCTTTTACTTTCAATATTAATCTTTCTCCATATAGTCTGTTCTCAGAGTACATTGAGAACCAAATGTTTCTGCTGAGGTCTTAATTTCTGTTGTGCTCCTTATGACTGTAGCTACCTCTTTACCAGGACTGATGTACATGGCCTTCTGTCTATCCTAGGTGCATATGGAGGTGCAGCACATTGCTGACTTTCTTTCAAAGTGCAGAAATTACTCTGCTTATTCCTTGTATCTGCCACTAGAGTACTAGGCATTAATGTGTGACAAAAGTGTTAGTATAGGAAACAACACTGCATTATCTAGTATCAGAAATGTGCAAGAACCTATAAAAAACAGATTTCTTCTGCCAATAATTTCCCTGGGATGAACAGGTCCTCAGTTCCTCTAGAACATTCTCAGGACTCCCCCGGCTGGAATTCTTTCAGGAACAATATCCCAAGCCACTCATGTAAGGCCAAAGTGCACTTATTGGGACAACAGTTGCAGAACATTGTCCAAATTTAGAAACTTCCAGGCTTTGCAGGATTTTGGAAGAATCTTTCTGCCTACAGTCTCTACCAGTGCATGCTTACTGTAGCTCCAGAGAATGCTTCCCTGCTTCCAGGTGAGAGTGTCTCTCTTAGCACAGAATTTGCCCATGTACCATCTCATCCTGTGGCTTCAAACAAGAAGATGCTGTGCCTGTGGTCTGGAAGGATGCCACAGTTCTCTCCAGCCATGTGCCTGATCTGGTGTCAGGATCAAAGACTGTGGTGTGTTAAAACATGCCTGCATTATAGGTTAGATGGCATGACAGTGCAATGAACATGAAATGTCTGGAAAGATGTACCTTTCCTAACTTACCTGAGTATTTCCTATGTAGGTCAACCCCTGTGGGGAGAAATGATATGCAATCTCCCAAACACATTAAAACCACTAGAGACTATACCTTCCCTACAAGTGCAAGGCTACTGCAGCACCTCAGTAGGAAGAGAGTAAACACTGTTGTCCATCACATAGGACTGTTTAATGTATCCTACACAGAGGTGGGAGCTATGTATGGATGTCTTCTGTACATGTGACAGGGTGATTTAGTCTCATTTATTTGTGTTCTAAGATGAAAGAAAAAGTACTACAAAATACAGAAAAAAAAAAATAATTGTAAGAGAAGCAAAATAAACCAGGTTAAAATTTATGTATGAATTACAAATGTCAACTTAAGTGTCATAATAATTCTTTATAAATAAATGTCACAAACATTAAATCTGAAAGGATTTTCATAAGTATAGATTTTACAGCCTAGCCTATCATGCGTATCATTTCAATATAATTTCAATCAAAAAATAAATGATAGTATGGACCTCATATTAAGGACCTTCAGTGCAATGCTGTTGATGAACAGATGATGGCAGGAGGATCATGCTTTTCAAATGAGTCTATAATGATCTGTTTTAGCCGATCAACCTACACTGTTAAAGCATCCTTTCTTGAGATGACTTTCTTGAGGATATGGGACCAGCAGGATCAAAGTCTGTGCCCAAAGATAGTTTCTCAGCTTACTCTCAGCATCATTTAAAGTGCAGCTATCTTTAGTCAGTGTTTTTCACCTACAGCTACTGAGAATAGATTGTGAATGGTGTGATCATTATCTTGTTTTACATGCCCTTTACATGATAGGTACAATCTGTGAACTGCAGCTCAAGGGCCAGCATCATATTCAGATATCTCAGCAAGCTAGTTGAGTGAAAACATCCAAGAATGCATTTGAGATTTATCTTCTTTTATTTTCTGTCCAGTAGGGATTTTGAACACTACTAGTAATTCCTAGGAATTCTTTCACTGGTGGCTTTGGACTTCACCTGAGAAAAAAGTAGTAAGACTCCTACTAGGGCACAGGAGAAAAAGTTAGGGAAAGTAACATCTCTGTTCCTCTCTGACACTGTAGAAGTGTTGACCACCCCTTCAGTCTGGGGCTTTCTGCTTGTTGTAGACAGAATGAGTGGGCTCTGTGTGGCCAGAATGACTTTCAAAAAAGTAAAGTAAGAGTGGGAAGGTGATACCCACACATTTGAACTCTAGCTTCTGCTGTCATCATTGTGTAAGAAAGATTGGCCACTTCTTTGAGAGCTAAAAAATATTATTTTAGTTTAAAAATATTACTGAGGGCAAGGATACACCTATGGTTCTGCTGTTCCTTCATTAAAGGACATGTGTGTAAAATTTTATTAGAGATTGCAAAACTATGGTAATGAAATGGGAGATTGCATTTTTCATCTTTTTTGCAAAAGAAAAATGAAGAGACTCCACTGCGATTATAATTAGAAACATATGGTACAGTGGACAGAAGGCAGATTTTTCTAATTTCTAATCAATTTTTTTTACTAAATTACCTTCCAAATTTTTGAAGCTATCACCTTGCCCTTGTCACTCCCATTCCCTCCAAACACATTCATTGTGAAATTGATGTAATATTCTTGTCAAATGAATTATAACATGTAACAAGCCATGTAGACATGAACTCACAGTACCAAGCTTGACAAGTTTTTATAGCTAGTATTTAATTGGAAAGGTTTCACTCCTTTACTGAATGCAGGTATTAACCACTAGATGCCACCGTTGCCCCTATAAAATAGTCCTGTCTGTGTCTTGATCGGTCCATGAAAACCTGCAAACCTTCAACAGATTTTCCCACGGTGTATGGAAATACTGATATAGTGTTCAACAAAAAGTATAAATGCAGGTAAATCCTTGTACTCAAACCTTCTATAAACTATCTTGATCACACACAACACCCTAAGGTCCATTTCCATCTTGGAAGTACATAAAAGGCTTTATGGTCACCTCTCATGGGTTCACCTGCTCTTTTTGTGACAAAAATAAGTCCTGTCAGACCTGAGGAGTTGGCATAGCCGACACTGACTGGAGGTGTTTCAGTGTATGCATAAGCAATGGAAGGAGCTTAGTGTCACACATTGTACCTCTGCAATCCCAGAAAAATGTTTTCTGAAATTTAGGGCATGGTGATGTTGGGGTTGCATACGTGTAAAGGAGCCCTCGCTGCTTGACATTGTACTGTCCATGACTTTCTGGGACCCAGCAACCCCCAACTGTTTGCAAGGAGCTGGGGGAGAAGAAGTGGGCGATAGCATTTTTAAGTGGATGACTCATATGGAAAACTGAGGTACTCATAATACTAATTTTTAGCACCATGGCAAAGGCTTTCTCACAGCCTTCCTGCTTGGCTTGTTGCCTGTTAGTAGCTTGGTGAATACAGACCCATGATCTGCCACCTTGTTTCTCACAGAACATCTCAGGTGGTGTTTATGTGCCTGGACACATTGCCAGGGCTGTTTTTTTTAGTGGTGACAGTTGGAGTGAATACATATGTGTGCTTGGTACCTAGTGCCTTGCTGCTTGGCCATTATAAATGCTCCAGCCTGTGTGTGCATAGGAAGGAAATTAACGATGGGCAGCTTTGGAAAGGATGCTCAGCCCTGGGGAAGCTGGAGGGTATGTTTCCTGAGCCTGATGCTCACACATCTCAAAAATACAAAGAGCACTCAGCCTGCCTGCTTCATGTGGTGGAGCCACAAGGAAAAACTGGAATTTATGTCAGTAAGTGACCTCTTCATAGCTAAAGACCATACAGAGCAAGCTTTTTCTTTGCATGGGGAAAGTAATTTCTGTTGTTTTGTTTTTTTTTTTTTTTTTTTTTTTTTGGTTGTTGTTTTGTTTTGTTTTGTTTTGTTTTTTGTTTTTGGATTTTTTTGAAAAAGGCTTGAATTTTATGTCTCACTGTTCCCTTTTGCTAGCATCACACAATACCAGCTTCCACACTCCTCCTGCCTTGACATATATGTCTGACAATTGATAAAGTCATGTAAAGTGACAGACAATCCCACAGACCTAGCTACAAAAATGGGTGGTTTTGCTGCCAAACAATTAAACGTATGCTACTGGATCTTCAGTGACTTGGATGTATTTCAGTGAAATGACAAATGGATGTGAGGAACAATTTATGGCTTTCACTGGAGATGAGCATCTTGCACAATTAAATTAGGAATGCATGTAAGTGTGGAGGGTATGAGGGAGATCTTAAACTTCAGAATTAAAGCTGTTCCTATAGGCACAGTGTCCTGGACGTTTGAATTCCTCGTCGGTCATCCTTGGCTGTGAACAGTGCGCTTACCCTGAGGTCGGGAAGGTAAGGAGGCAATGGCCCAGCATCTTGGAGCTCGTGATAGTAGTAATACACTCAAGCTGTGGGAATCCACGCCACAGGAAAAGACATGGTCAGGGAGGGCTACAGGTCTTGGCTGCGAAGTTGTTAGCTGTGCGGGGCCGGTGAGCAGGGGCTGAGCAGACGGCTTCCCTCCTCCTAGAACTGCACCCCTGACCTGCCTTTCCATGACCACCCTTCGGATGAGAAACCAGGGCAGGATGGTCCCGCACGGCGTCCCCCGCCCGCGCTCGGGCGATGTGAGGCTGCGGCCGCAGTTGAGCCTCCGGTTTCTCCCGACGAGGCGGCGGCAGCGGGGCGCACCG